TCCTAGGGCTAAGATCATTTCGAGAAATATGCAGCCTGATGTACAGAAGTTTAAATCTGGCATAAAATTTCCAATCACAGTTACTGAACTGTCACTAATTAACCTGTCACTTGGAGGACATCTTCTGATCTCATAAGTCCTGAAGATTTGTAATTTGATGGGAAGGTGACAGACTGGAAGGTTGAGTCACCTGATGAAGATGTTACTATGAATAGAGTTTGGTTATTAAGACTGGATGTTAGTCACTACCTGTAGGGTTTCTGTCTGTAATTAACGACCCTCTTGAGAAACTTGACAGTGGTATCTAGCGGGGATTATAGTGACTCATTGTTCTTTCTATTATAGAATTGATTTTTCACTGATTGGTCAGTAAGTTTGAGGTTTCTTCGTGGTGTCTGTAAATGTTTACCAATTTGATCCATTAAGAGATTGTGAATATAATGTTTAACTAAGATGAAAAGATGGCCATTGTGTAATAGTGTGACTATGGTTGTTTTTTCTCAAGTCTAGATATTGAAAATGTAACCATCATTTCCAAACCATCTGCCCTGATGACAAATCTATAACTTGTATCTACTGCTTGAAATCATATCCTCTTAATTACAGCCACACCATTACAACAGTCAATCATGTTTTACTTTAGCAGGTAAATCTTGTCCAAGATAATAAATATTCATGATGTCACATGATTTTCAAACCAATCAACAGACGTCTTTACATGCCATTTTATGGTTTTGTTTTGTAAATAATGAACACGCGTATAAGACATTTGGATATTACACAAGTACAGCTAGAACAGGCAATGAAAAAATTGTTTTGATTAGTTAAATTCCTACGATTTTTTATAGAAAAATTCAGAAATTTCAAGTCTCTTATAAGTGGCATGTTAAGGCTGTAAATTTTGGGCCATGATAAAAGTAATGGGTGGATGATCGTGAAAAGCTTTCAAAAGAAAATAGACCTGAGTTAGACAATAAAAAGTCTTTAAGATCAATAGCATGAAACCAACTTTTCAGAGTAAAGAATTATTGGACATGAAATGGAATGAGGTTGAACTTGAATCAGGTAATGAAATGGAATCGGCATTTAAAGACCAATTTACAGGCAGGATTGGCACCATTAACAGGAATTCTGAGAGTAAATTCAATCAGGGTATTGTCTTTGATTGTGTATAAACTGATTACAGCGAGCAATCGAGAGGCGAGCGTTTCTGTGACTCATTGATTTCTCAGATTAGTTTATTTATCTTACCATTCTTTATCATTGACTGGATACACTGGAATATTCCTGCAAATCAGGGCTACTGATTTCTCTGAATTTACCAGCCATCTTCAAATACGAGATATATTGTATTCAAATTCTGTGTAGGAAAAATTTTACTTCAAGAATAGATGAGGTAAATGATCAAATAATTTTTTTTCAAAAACTAAGATTTATTATGCTAAATAACTGTTACTCAATACTAAAATTAGAAATTGTGTTCTCCAAGCAGCCCTATGCCTTCATTTATATCTTTCATCACTGATTACAAATGAAAAATATAAAGATGCAAGCTTGAATTGATATAGGGCAATCAAGAGCAACATCATTTGCAAATAACTGAATAGAAATAAATGAAAAGTTGAAATATTAATGAATAGGTTTAGAAGTTGTATGGTAGCTTCATTAATATTAGTAAAATAAACATCACACTTCAGTTGTACTTGATTTACCAATCCTTTTAGAAAACTTGGCACAGAATGAAAACTTTTCAGATGTTATAGATATAAACTTTAAAACAAATTCAACATGATTTATATATCTCATGATTTGGGGGAGTTTCTGGTGTAATATCTATCTAGAGAGTTGTAAATAGACAGACTTGATTACTTCACAAGTGGACCTCATCAAATAGACATCAAAACTGAGGAATTTTAATTAACAGATAATAGCAAAGTTCTCACACTATCTTTAAAGGGGCAGTATACAAAATTTTCATTATCGAAAACATCGTAAATGTTACCTGAAAATATGTAAACCCTTTAAATAAAGATTTGTTACCATGGATATGAACTCATGATTTGAATTAGAACCAAAACAAAATGGCTCAAAACCCTTGAACCCTCCGTAATAATGAATTAAATCTAATGCAGAACCAAAAAAAAAACAAAGGGTGGTTTGTTACCTTTTGAAGGTGAGATATATTAAATGAGAATATGTAGCCTCATTTGAGAGAAATCTCATGTAGTAATAATAAATACAGGTAAAAACTCGTTAAGAAAAGATAAAAACTTGTTAAGGCTGTAGACTAAACATTATACAGTTCAACATGATATATACTGAACATATTTCAACTTTCTTAATGATATACCTGTTTTAACCTTAGAGGCTATACACTCTGTTGTTTCAAGCAGAAGAGAATAGTTATTGTCTTGGAATGAATGAAGGAACAAATGAATGAATGAAATTTATGAATCGGATTGTAAAGAGGTTTTCTAAATTGTGTATGTATATTAGGGCCACAGATAGCATCAATTTCCACCATTCCAATTATCAATCAGACTTCTGTGATTCCTGCAATTCCACAAATAATAAGTGTTTGATGACATCATTAATTGCAAAATAATAGCCTTCATGATTAGTGACGCATAAAACACTTAGTTTTAGTGGAATTGCAGGAACCACAGACATCTTGATAGAAATAATGCAAATCAATGCTATAAGTGTTCCTGATACACATAAAGAATTTTTTATTTTTTTCAATTCCTTTAATAGAACTTCATATGTATAAGATAAATGGAACTTTGTTTTTTTACTGAAATAGTTGGCAATTTTTACCTGGTTGCTAAGTTAATTTATGGGAAAATTGAAAATTACCCAAAATGAAAAAAAGGAGGAAAATAGACACAATTATATCAAAATTTACTAAGTTTGAACTAAGTCACTGTATTGAAATGTACTATAAGGTTCAAGGTATCCCACATGACCTCTTTCCCAGTCTAGTATATACTTGACACAAACTTTGTTAAGTGGACAGCTGACATTCTTGACCAATTGACATCATTTTTGACCATGTCCAAACTTTTTGTTTCCTCATTATTTCTCCTGTTTTCTGTAAAATATTCATTAATTTTCACCTAAAAACCTGAAAAATGTCAAGTTAGATTGTTAAAAGTTGGGGTATTGTTCAGTGACTATACGGGTTTAAAGGAAGACAACTTGTTTGACCGTGTCTTTCTGGTCAACCCAGAAATTCTATTGTATTTTTCTGACCCAGATATCAGGAATGTCATTCAGAAAGTAGGTCTGTAATGTCTGCCTTGTTAAAACACTGACACAGTAAGAAGACAATAGAACTTATTTAAGTGTAGGCATACTGATTTCCTTTTCTCACACACTAAAAGGGACACGTTCGCCTTCAGTTCTAGTTTGACGTATATCTCAAGAGATTATGCAATTTTCTTTAGTTCCAGTTTCAGGATCTAGCTGTCCTGATGAGGATTGTGTATCTTAAACAGCAAACCAAAAATGAATGGCAATCAAAGTAAGCAAAGGGTAAAAGGTATAATAAAAAACATAGAAGATAAAAAATGACACACAAAGCTTCTCTTTAGTACCAACATAAAAAGGATTTTTTTATGATACCAAAAACTAAGATACAAATCCTTTAGAGCGGTGAACTATATTATTAGTAGGCGTACTTTAGAGCCATTTTAAGTCTTTATGTATCAACAACTAAGACTTTCAAGCCAATTTTTTATCGAACATACTATAGTCTGGAGGCTGATAGCTTAAGTTTTATAGTTAAGTGTTATAACTAATTTTCATAACAGATGCAATAGATTAATCAAACTTTATGTGTACAGGATTCTAGAGTGGTTGATGATTGTCTTTACCTCCTAAAAAAAACCTGTAAATAATTAGCAAAATATCACCGCTAAAACTTTGCATTATCTCTAATATACTCTAGTAACGCTGTGCATTATCATTGATATACCCTAGTAAGATGGTGCATTATCACTGATATACTCAAACCCAGTAAACATTATCTGATAATATCCCATAAGCCTGTGCATTAACACTGATATACTACAGTTAACCTGTGCCTTAACAATGATATACTACAGTAAAGCTGCATTATCACTGATACAGTGCATTATCAATGATGTACCCTAGTAAACTGTGCATTATCACTGATATAGCGCATTATCACTGATATACCCTAGTAAAACTTACTTAATCACTGATACAGTGCATTATCAATGATATATCCTAGTAAAACTGGGCATTATCACTGATATACTCATGTTAAAAGTGTGAGTTATGGTTGATATACCATGGTTATTGTGATACAATGAATACAAGTAGATCTAGTATAAAAACAGCCCCAGGGAGGGACCTATATTTCTAGATTCAATCAAGGATAGCAGGTGAAAATTTTACTTTGTGGTCAGACAGTTTGGAATGTGACAAGGGCCAGACATTTCTGTATCAAATAAGTTTGGCTTAGTTTACTGAATTGAGAGAGTGTAAGGATTTAATGTGTAATTAGGAACAAAGTTTAATAACCATAAATGGTTGGATATGTAACTAATACAGTTTTTAGCTATTATTGGATAGTTTTTGATTGTAATAACTTAAAGCCATCTTGGACGTTGCACAAAACTATTGTGTCAAAATATAACCTATAAGTGTGTTTTTTAAACTGATCTTTGATAGCAGAGAAAAGAACGAGGATCCCCTCAACCTGTTGGCTAAACCTCTTGGCATTTATCTTTTCCTAATTATCTGTACCGATTTACAGCTGTGTCAACTGGAATAATGAGGAAAGATTCTTCACATGCCAACCTAGAATAGAACCCACAATCACCATTGTGGCTAACACTCCAACTTATTGTGCTCGATGGATTCTTAAATTGTAAATGTTTTGTATCATTTGTAATTTGTAAAACGAAGGTTTTATTTACAGATTTAAGTTATCACCTTGTGCTTAATAAGTTTCTTTTTCTATTTCCAGTGGAATGGATTGTAATTTAGTTTCTTCACCCACCTACCAGAATTTATATACATCACGCCGTCGACCTCCTCCCCCACCACCTTTACTGAGCCCAGACGACAAACCTCCTGCCCTCCCACCTCGTAACTATAGGAAACCATTAAACGACCCTCCTAGCAACAAGACGCCCGGTGCTGGTGGTGAAGAATCAGTGGATAATACTAAGTTGGATTTTAAAAGTTTAATGAACCAATGGGAAGGGTCTCCGAGGGAGGACAGCTACGCAGCAGATTTACGTCGACAAGCTCGCAGATTTTCCGAACAACAACCGAATTCCACCAACATGAGCATCCTTCATTCTAAAACTAAAATAAACTTTTCGCAATCTTACAAACGAGAACCTGTGTTAGTTCACCAAGCAACGCCACCTCAAAACACTAACTCGTCTTTCGAGGAGAAGACTACAGTTACTTCCCCTGTTTTAGAACAACCAATGGTTGTTGAGGAAGGAAATAAAGAGAATAAAGCGCCCTCTACACCAAGCAATCAACCAATGAGTGATGAGGAAATGAAAACACCTCCTCGTGTTGATAGAAGTATTTCGGAACTATCATTACCATCGCCACCTATACATTATGGAACATTAGAGGGAGATCACTCTGAACTACCTCCTCCACCACCAGAAGTTCTGGAAGAAGCTGAAAAAGATGACCAGTAAGTACATTTATACTTATTTTTGCAATTTTCAAAATGAAATAACATACAATACTAGACATCATGCATACTTTAAACAACTCAAGGGAGAAAACTCCACTTTACATGGGATTCAAGAGTTCGTTTTTTAATTTTATTTTCATCAGCCACAAGATTTTAGATACTTAAAGCTCTTTTTCACATATACAAGCAACATACTACATGACATACTGCACACCTCAAACGATTCAAGGGAGAATACTCCACTTATTCATATTCATCTCACCTGAATATTTTATTCTTACTTCACTATACAACGATGTTAGTTTAAATCATGGGAGATAACTGCTACCAGATTATAGTTATAATAACATCATGAAATACCAGTAATATTTTAATATTGAGATTCTAGTTTGATAATACTTGATTAAACAAAAAAATTTGCACGTGAGAGTTGCCTTTGAAACTCTGTGTATTCACAATATTTGCCTTTGGAAGTAGCCTATAACATTTTACATTTGAAGTGGACACAAATGCATACAAAAGCATCATAATGTGCCCCTAAATCCAATCCAGTGATGGTCTTTATATTTGTGTGTAAAAGAGTTTGGAATTATAGCTAATACTAATATATTTAAAGTTCTAGCTTTTAAACTTACATCTGGCTTCAATATGATAAAATAGAGATCTAGATATTGATAAGTCATATTACATTGAAGATTTTCTTCTTGAAAGGATAAAACGGTTTATTTTTTAAATCAAGTTTCTAGGCAATTTCTTTTTTGACATTTGGAGTGGGTGACCCCACAGATGTTTGAAATAAAACTCAAGTTTTATTATCTTATGCCTTCAGACATCTTCAGTCCTCTCGTCCCTGCCAACAAAATTTCTAGTTTTTTTGCAATACATTTGTAAAGTTTGAACTGAATTATAATCCTACAAAAAGGGAGATGGGGATACACTATTAAATCTGTTACTACAATACAACCTAAGTTAACGAAAATTTTATCGTAAAAATCTGGACAGCTGATTAGCAGGAGAAGCATGTTGGTGTAATCCTATCTCCTTGATTGAAGAGTTCTAATATCAGCTGACCCTAGTTCCAGTTTAGATTTAACAGATCTCTATGATAAACCAAGGATAAGAATCTGGCTATGTTTTCATTGAAATGATCAAAGTTGTTTTTCCCAGGATTTCAGATCGTGTTTGTATTTTCTGGGAGAGATTATTTTGAGAAGATATTTTTCTTAGACTGAATAAACCAACTTGTCATTTCTTTGATAATGAAAATGAAAAATTAGGCATCGAGGCAACTTCTGTCCTGCTCATGGGTATCTTGTAAAAATTTCCCTCATTGCCCACCTGGATGTAAGCTGAAAGTCTTGATATTCAAACATTTTAAACTTGTGTAAAGAATCTAAAAGTGAATTATCAGCTGTTTGTATAAAAAGTTGAAATATATCAAGTTTGACGTCAGTAAAAGATAAAACTCATCTCAAGTCTCAGTGATAATATTGTTGTTTTTATCATTAATTCAATATACAGATTGTAGGGTATAAAACTTTCTTAGCATGGAACCAAGAAATGGTTTTGATTTGTTGGATATTGGTCTTATGGCATTATGTATGCCTACCCAAAGGTTTCAACCTTTTTCTTTCTATTACCTTTCTGGATCCTTGATCGATTGTATTTCTGATTTCCCTATATAAATCTTTACTAAATTAGTAATTTCTGTCAGATTTTTCCTGCAATCTTTTTTCATGTCGTAGAATATAGACTGACTGTCCCAAAGTTTTATGGCACACTACAAAATGCCCCAAAAATTTCAAAATTACCCCTAGGTGAAAACCCCAAAGAACATTTTAGGGGGTGAATTTAAATTTTGCTGACAGACAATAGATCAATATTTGTGGAAATTTTATCTTTTGGACACAGTTACTAAATCCTTTTTTCGAATATTATTTCTCGGTGCATATAGTCAGTACCTGTAAATAATACAAATCTACTTTACATTTGATATCCTTGTTTTACTCTGTTGATCATAATATCCACAAAGGAAACCTCGTTTATTCCAGACTAGTTGATCTTGTCTTAATGAATCATGAAAATTGAATTCAAATTTGAAAAAAATCCTCTACAAAAACGGTTAAAAAAGATAAATTTGAAATGAAATAAGTAATTTTAGCCTCGGGGAGAGTTTAATATGAACTCTGTATAAAGATCAAGTTATATTAAGATTCAACTGATACAGGTCTGAAGTCTGGTTTATATTTTAAACAGATATTTTTTAACAATAAAAACATTACTTATGCGGACTCTCTTAAAGGGATGCAGAGTTAACTCCCTGAAAGTGATGCCGAGTTATTTTAACAATGACAATGGCAATTTAGAATCTACAGGCAGTTGGTCTGAAAATTATTTTAAACTTATATTCATATAAGGTGATCACTAAAATTGATTTTGAATCAAGTTTTGTGAACCAATCAAATTATTGTATTTTTTAAATTTGCATATTTTATTTGTTAAGATTTCGATAATGAGGCCACTGAGCTTAAATATGCAAAAACAACCTTAATAGTTTCAGGTATTTTTAAGTAAGAACACCCTGTGGCATCTGCCACGTCCACCATATTTGTTTTTTCAATAGAGAAGGACATGAATTTTTAAGTTGTGATCTTTAACTGAGGTAATAAATTCAGATCAATCAAAACCGAACATTACCACAGGTCATGAACTGAGCTGAGGGGAATTCAAAATGAACTTAAAACATTTCCTAATTATTCAGTGACATACACACAACAAATTATCATGTTTCGGACCTTCTCATTGGTTACTTTTTTGGCTCTATTTTGTTCAAGATTTCGTAAGACTGTTTGTGATTGGATGATAAGTCATTTAAACTGTTGTTGATAGGTTGAGAAAGGTTTTTGTTTGGTTAAGGTGTTCTAAGATGTCTGAATCATTTTCAACTGAGTTCACCTTTCACCTTTTCATTTCATATGGTGAAATATTTGAATAGGTACTTTGTGAAAATTTCTATTTTTGTGTAAATTTTATGGCTGGATGCATCGTTGTCAAGGTGTATAATGAGTAGCTTCACTGACATTTTGTGCATACATAATGGATACATATATTTTTGGAATAGTTATTGATTCATAAGAACTGTAGGATCTTGTCTGGCAAATATGACCAAATCAACTGCCCTGTCAGGATGTGTGTTCAGTCATCATGAAGGTGGCTTAAGCATTAACTGTTAGTGCATTCTTTTAGAATAACAATTGTGTCAATCTGCAGACCTGTGAAATGTTGCATTTTGGGAATGCTAGTTACCGTTTACTGGACAAAGTTCAAAGTTAGGATTTCTAGAATATACCTGGTAACCATGCTTTTTCTCATTTTTCAATTGATCCAACTGTAAAGGGTATGACATTGTGGAATAACATAGCTGATGGTTCAACCAAGAATTGTTGTTCAGATTGCTTGTTTTGTAAGAATTTTAAAAGCTATCAGGTAGATCCTCTTTTTGGGTTGATCACCTTACTTCACGAGGATGTATTTTCAGAAGGAAGAAAAAAAAAAAAATGGAGGATTTATGAGTTTATTTTTAGAAGGTGATATCATTGTGACATAAATATGAAATGAAATCATTTAATATCAATAATTTGATTGGTTAATAAAATGATTGATGATGATTGGTTATGTATTACGTCAATCAGTAAATGGAGGTATTTGATTGGCTGTTTATAATTTGATAATTATGATTAGATTGATTAAGTCGTTAGCCTCGAGGTATAGTTTCTAGATTGGGTAATAATTCAAATTGATGATATTGGAATATATTGTTCGCAAACGTATATTTTAGGATTAAGATGTGTTTTCTTCTTGTGATTTCCTAAAGGGATGTTGATTTCATTGTGTTAACCAGTCATGTCTGACTAGAGATCCAAAGTGCAAACTGTGTGTTGCAGCAGCGATATTTTTGTTCATCTAGGTGCAATTCAAAACATAAGAGCAGTCCATTTTATTTGTAGGTAGAATAAATAGTAATAGAAGCTATACAGACTATACTTACATTGTGTTTGTACTACTTGAACTACCTGAAAATAAAGTTGACTAGTCGTTTTTATATTTTTCATTGGTCATGAATGTGAATCTGCATTTTTCTAGGCTATAATTTTGATCTTTGGTTTTTCTTGATGTTTGAATTTTGAATGAGTTAGTTAAAATTTTGATATTTGTTTCACAAGGAAAAGTTGTATAAAAAATACCAGTTTGAACGTCTATCAGTCATAGGTAGTAATAATCACTCTGTTTATTTTATTATGATTTATACCAAGATAATAGATCAACCAAAAGACAAGTTCTCTCATTATGTTTATTAATGACTTTGTGGGCTATATAAAAAATGTTGGCAAGATCAACGATTTGGTGCAAACCTATCAAATAATAACAAGTTATAATGAAGATATTTTGTCATTCTCACTGAGGTGATTATTTTGGTAATTAACAGTTAATTTATCATGTTTATAATACTGTTGAATGGAAAGTTAAAATTATGGTGAGGCAGTGGTATTTCTAAGCCTCAGAGACAGAGTAGGAGAATTGTCAAGGGTGGTCCCCAGCACCAGGCATATAAAAACTGATAAGGAATTTGATAATGATGGCAAGCCAAGCAAGTCTCAATTTTAGGGGGCACTCACTGAAACGATCCCATGGTGAGACAAGGCATGTTTGCTCTTCCACAAAATTCAAGAGGCCACATTATAAATAGCATGTAAACTTGCCACTTTCCATTGTGGTCTGTTGATGTTCAGAATGTAGTTTGGTAGAAAATCAGGCTTTTTTTTTTGAAGCGGCAATATTCACCACCTGCAAAGATTCCCACCCCACCTCCACTTCCTCAAGTCAGATGAAAATAAAGTTAGTAGATATCTAACACAGACCATACTGTTATTATAAAGTATACTATTTATTTTACCAGTGTGTATCATTTCTAAGTCTTGGTTAGAATCTCTTCACTTATTATTACCAGTTTATTATTGTTAACTTGTGGTTCTAAATCTGAATTGCCAATTTTGATTTTTTTTGTGGCTCATGACTTATGGCCCACTTAGGTTTGAGTAAAACTTGATACACATCTATGACAAAAGAAATTTGATAATTTTATTGATGATATTAAGATTTTTAAAGTTCACAATATTCCATCTGATCAGGTTGGAATCACACCTGATACCACTTAGCAACTGTTTGTTTAAATAAGGATGCTATAAGACTGTCCATAGAGTTGTTTTGGACTAGTAAAATTGCTGATAATACAGGATCATTGCTTGAAAACCAACAAAGCTCACGTTGCTATGGGCCGCAAAAATGCCAAGAGAAGGTTTCAGTTCAGAGTTTTGCTACATCTGGAAAATTTCTCTGACAATCCTCTATAATTTATTGGGTAGAGATAATTCTATGGCAATATTTGACTGTTCTACCCTCAGTTTGATAAAATGATAAGATTCCTGACAATTTGTTACCAGTATTTTTATGTTGGTGAAGAGTTATTACTTGAATTATCTGGTGGGTTATTTATGATTTCATCTGATAGCTACTTGATTTGAAAGTCAAGATGGTCTGTGAGGATAACTATTGAGTAATGTTTGATGGTTGAAATGTCTGATTATTTTGTCTAGTAGATTAAGGAAGTCTACTATCCTCTTGTTGGTTGATCCAGACACTATCTGAGCTCTTCGCTGCAGCTCAATTTGGTATTCTGGAGCTCTGGTGGCTCATTATCTCCCTTCACTAGACTTTGGTCTATTCAGACACCTTCTACACCTTAAATTTTGCAGGCCATTTTGTTGAATAAGGTGGACATTTCTGGTGGCAAGAAAGAAGGTCTGAAATGTTAAGCTAATGCACCTCACCTGCCTTAGGGAAACATTCAGTCAAAAAATAAAACAGCCAAGATAAAATTAAAAGTGTCAGAAATGCCAAGAAATGATTTAGCTCAAACTGAATGTCAGTTGATGACAGGTTATTACCTAAGGAAAGGTTCAGAAGTGCCAGGAAAAGCTCGACACAAGCATCAGTAGATAAGTGGTGAGTGATCTTTACCATAGAGAAAGGTTCAGAAAAGCTAAGAAATGTCAGTTGATGACTGATCATTACCAAAGAGAAATATTCTAGAGATGAATATCAGATAGTGAAATACTAGTAGGTTATTTTGAGTAAAGTATTGTGTAGATT